GAATCACGTACCTACTGGGTTAATTGTAAAAGGATGCAAGCCAATTCACATTTTGTTGGAGTTTTAAATACACATCAAAAACCTGTTTAGTGATGACAACATTCTAGAGCTAGAAAACAAAATAATTTTATATTTGCATGCAGTTATTTCAAATATCAGGCAGACTAAGAAAGATATACATTCTCTGGAAGAAAACTAATACTCTTCAGCTCTAGTTAAAATTTTTAGGTGACTGAATTCTGCTCCCTCCTCACAGTTTAAAAAAAGTAATAAAGACTGTTGTGAGAAGGTAGCAGAGTTCTGTTTTTTTTTAAACTGGGTCTATATTAAGCCATTAATTCAAAAGGCAGGATATTACATGTGGTCTATTTTCTCATCCTAAAATTCTTACTCTGTCGTATTTTTAGCCCAGTGAACTGATGGTGGCAATGCACAAACCTGTATAAGTCTGCAGATATAGTTGTCTTCCTTGAGCTTCCCTGAATTCCAGCCGCATAAGCTCTCTCAATACTGAGAGAGCTCCCTGCCCCAATACATCCAGCCAACATTACATATTTTATTTCACTATCAATTACTTAATTTTGTGCCCCTTAGTGGAATAATACTACCTATTATTGGGTTCAGAAACAGCACCATGACTATTATTATTAAGTCACTGCTATATGCCTTTAGAGATCAAGTGCATCTTTTTTCACCTGAAATTTTTCTTCAAAAAAGTAATACGTAAAGGATGTCAGGGCCAGAGATGGAGTGAGAGTAAGAGTGTACTAATATTTACCTAGACCAAAGTCCCAGATAGAAATTGAATACTATTTTTTTTTAAGGAATTTTATTATCCAAAACAAAGGATGCCAGTTATAATTTGCACTATAGCGTGTCATTAGCAGGCTTTATAAACAAATACCCATTATTTTAAGCTAGCTACAAAAAAAAGACAGAAACACAAAATAAAGCATCACATCTCATTCAAGATATAGTTATACAGGTTAACAGGATGCTTAACTACGAAGTACTGCATTACTAGTAGCCATAACGGGGCCTCTTATTGTAGGAGTTTTTGCCGTACTGCCCATACTGTGGGGAGAATGAGTCTTCTTGTCTGTATTGTTGGTAGTTATTACCCCAGCTTCTTTCTTGCCTCTGATTATATCTGTTGTCACCTTGCCAGTTATACCTGTCTCCTCTAAACTGTCTGCCATCTTGAAACCTAGAATAAAAAGAAATTTGCATGACCTTTAACACAAGCCCTGAGATTTTAAAAGATGAATGTTCACCAACTCTTTTCACAAACATTTTAGTGCACTCCTAAAATATGGCACCCTATTTACATATTCAAATACCATTTTTTTTATTACTGCCAATTATTATTAATAGCTATCCTGGAACCCAAGATAATTTTTTAGCTATTTACTACTACCCATGAACTGATGGAGTGAAAAAAGCTTCAGCGACCTTGCACACACCTTTCAAAATGAATTGCTAAAATTTAGGATAAACATTCTCTGCATCTATAAAGCAATCATCAGGTATAGCCATGTCTGAGCTAGTAAGCATGGCATCAACTAATAGTAGCTTGGATATCAACAGCAGTTATGTTTAAAAATATGGAATTACTATAAATTAATGTGTTTATTTTAATCATGAGTAAACCACAGCTTGGTGTATGGATAAACAACCAACAATGGACACTAAAAGCTATCTAGCACAGCAGCATGAAGCTCCATGCAGCACATATTAACCACCAACCTGCCACAGCTAAACTACCTTCAATATCACAGATAGTTTAGTATTTCCATATCGCTGCACACTGCAGCAAACACAAGCCTGTCTACACATGCTGCAATTACACATTCTGATTGTAGTGTAAATGAGCAGAATATGTTCATTCATAAAAACCAAGCTTTTACAAAGTTTCTTAAACAACCCCCTTTTCTGTTGCAAAAAATTGAAAGATGAGGATTATTACTATGAAATTAACCCTTATTGTACAAGTACTTATATACCTGCTTAACTTAATGCACACAAAGTCTGGTTGGCCTATGCAAATGTTTGTAGGGTCAGGATTCAAGCAATAAATGTGGTGCAGGTAGTACAAAAACATTGCTTAACTCTTGAAAGTAGTAATTGCCCTTTATCTACGGTTCCCCAAAAAATCCACTACCAATTTTTAAGTTAAAAATGGAAAGCAACAAATAGCCTACAAAAAAAGTATAATTCAAACTATTTTTGGTAGGCATATAATACGATCTTTCAGTATACTTGCTAGAGGGATACGATGTATTCTACGGTCCCTACAAATAGACAAAAACAATGCAGACTAGCCTAGTCACAGTATGTCAGATGTTATCTGGGCTGAAAACAACAATTTTTTGGACAACTAACAAAACAAGCATGTTATTATTCTGTTGCTTGACACTGTCAGTCTTCTGTTGATTATTAATGCTGCAGAAGACAGGCTGTTTGGTTTTGCAGACAAACTCTCATCTCTCCCCTCTGGATAAATCAGTTCATGGCCAGGCAACAACTGGCCCCAAGGGCAATCAGTTTAGTGGTTCCAGCTTCTTGCCTGCCAGTAAACAATGTGTTTCATACTCATATATGAAATGCAAAACTACTGTCAGGATCAGTTCAATGGAGTCCCACTACCTTTTAATTTGGAGAGAGGTACATTTGTTTAATTAGAAAACCCACCAGTTAACAAAGGGCAGCAGAAAATGTACTGCTTCCCTTTACCCTAAGGTTGATATAACTGTAAAATGGCTATCACTATGAAGCTGGCAAAGATTCCTTTAAATCAGTACCGATCTCTGTTTCTCTGGTTGCCACCGTATCTAGTTCTCCATTCTTCTATTATAGGAGGTGGATCTGCAGGACGTTTCAAGTACTCTTGATACTCCTTATCATCTGCTGTGAATCGATGAGCAAACATCTCCTCATAATTTGGAGGAACGTCAAGTGAAGAGGTCATCCTGATATCTCGAGACAGGAAAAAAATGGATACACCTTAAAAATACATAACAAAGGACTTCTTTTTGCTACTAAAATCAGTGAAAACACTGCAACATATTAAAGGTAATTTAGTTGTTATGTAGTGCACTAACCACTATGTTCACAGTTCTCAACACCTACTTTACCAACATTACCAATGCAATGGAAGTTTTCTAGAGATAGTTCTAACAAACGAGAGAAACCATCACCTTCTTGCTCCTTAGTCACCCAACATTAGCTTATTAAGGCAAACCTTAGTAGGGCCACCACACATCTGCCAAGGCTCAGGAGAAACCCTTTGGATCACGAACAATTAACTGGTGAATCGCACAATAAATTCAGACCAGCCACACGTGCAAAGTCAGGGCCCCTCAACATAATAAACACCTTGCTGGGGTCGTTTGACCCCAGTACTCTTTCCTGCCATGGCAGGGGGTCGGACTAGATGATCTTCTCAGGTCCCTTCCGACCCTAGAAACTATGAAACATATGCAGATAAAGGTGCCATGGGATCCAACGCGCGATCCACACAGTCGCACCCCTGGCCATGCCACACATGCATAGCAGAAGGGCAACTGTGGCATCATATATTAGATCCCATCATGCCTCATTGCCAGTACAGGGGAGCCCAAGATCACCAGCCTGGCTGTCCCCCTGCACCAGCTCCCACAGGGCTTGGCAGAGCGCCCAGAGGGGCAGCTTTCTCCCTGTTAGCCTGCGGCAAGCTCTGCACCTCCCAAGGCTTGCCGCAGCGGTAGCCTTCTCCCTGCAGCCAGAGATGCCTTCTCCTGGCTGTGCTCCCCACAGCCAACAGTGCCACAAGCACAGCGCATCCTGCGCCCCTGTAGCTGTGAGCCCTGCAGCTGACCGGGGAGCGCTCGGCCTCACCCTCAACTAGTGGCGTGACCAACTTCCCGCACGTTTTTACGGAGCACCACTGTAGCACAGTGCCCGTCTGATCACCCCGCTCAGTGGTCTGACGTGTCGCTGGAGGTCACAACTGAAGGCGAGGT